AAAGTCAATGCAACAAACACGTCCTCAATTTGAATATACATAGCGAAGTAAAGAGAGCGTGTCTTCTTCAAACCAATAACGGCGTTGCGGCTGCGAGCGAAAACACACGGGAAAAGAAATTGATACTAAAAATAGAATTGGAAATTGAATCAGTCCCTTTCCATTTATGTAGACAGTAAAAAGATTGATTAATGACACCCACTGAATATCCAGTTCTTGCATTTGGCAGAGACATTTGAAAAAAAGACGATCGTAAATTCCACTCAGTTAAAATGAAAAACTCGAATAAAATAAATTTACTCGATTAAACGAAAAATTTCGAATAAAAAGAATTCGTCTTCTAGGTTCACTGTCAATTTATAAATGATTTGAGCTTTTCTTTTTATTTATCGCTGTGATAGTTGAGGTCAATAATATGTTGACAGAGTTTCCATTCAGGGCTGTACGACCCCTCAAAATAGAGGCCAGCTCTTTACTATATCCATATCTACTTTTTTGAAAGCGTACAAACCAAACCTCGGTCAATGTTTTGGACTCACGTGAAAAGTAAATATATGTCTACCATTTTACACTTGGGATAACCAAAGCTCGGTTTATGTTTTGGACTCACGTGAAAAGTAAATATATGTCTACCATTTTACACTTGGGATAACCAAAGCTCGGTTTATGTTTTGGACTCACGTGCAAAGTAAATATATGTCTACCATTTTACACACGGGCAAACCGAACCTGGGTCTACCTGTTTTACTTGCGTTCAAAAATTTATATTTACCTTTTTAACCCTCATCGGAACCGAACCTAGGCGACCATTTTGTCTATAACATAGCCTAAACCTTGATTATTTTGGACTCGCGTGCAGACCAAACACATGTCATCCATTTTTACTCTTGTTTCAATCAAACCAACACATACCTTTTTATTGTTTATCAAAATAGCATAATGCGTTTTAAAATAATTTAAAAAACTTGGATATGCCGTAAAAAATAGCAAACTAATCCATTTAATTCCAATGGTTCATTCAAAACGACTTTTATCTATTATTCTAATTCCAATTGTCCACTTAAAGCGGCTTTAATCTGTTCTTCTAATTTGAGCCGCCACTAAAATCTGCTCTGATAGTTTTCAAAATACATAATATGCTAAGGAAATAAATATTTGTATTGTTCTATAGCCCATTAGTGTTGGTTTCGGTCTTCGACATAAATTCACTAATAACATCTCCGTTTTCTTTCACAATCGGTGATCGCTAGTTGTTTCGGTTCGGAAAAAAATCATCACCAAAGAGAATTTTAACCTTAGATATTTTATTAACGTCGACATATACCTCTTCCAACTAGCCAGTGAGGTCGCTCTCTCAAAGCCATACACGACAGAGAAGAACACGTCTACACTGTTCGACGGTTAAGACACGACTCCCAGAAAACCCTTCTATATCTCTATCATTCCCACGCTCCTTCAGCCAATCAAAATCGACTTCCTTGTTTTGTCTTGTATCTGACCCCTAAAGTCAATCTGAGGAAGTCAGGAGCAGAAATACACTTCTCTAAAAATAATAGTCAGCTAAATTATTATTTAACATTTCTTACCTAATCATTAAAAAATAATTTATGAATTTTATTTCAAGTATATTACTCTAAAATCCCCTCCAATCTAGTGGCTTCATGGTGTGCTGCTTACATTTTTTCTTCATTGGGACTCGGTCACATGACCCTTCCGGCATGTACATATAACATTCCTGAAAAAGAATGAATGTAAAAAATAAAATTCCGACCAGTCCTTTCCTGCTTCACAAATATGTTTCTTTAAACAACAAAAAAAAACAGAATAACGGACAATCGTTTACCCATTCTTGGTCACTAGTTTCCGTGACCCAAGGGTCAAAGCCTCAGACGCCAGTCGCTCCAACAGTGAACATTGAGCTTCTCAATGTTTCATCAGCAGGTGCCACCTCTACAATCCAAGATTCCTGAGCAATACAAAATTTCTCGCCACTTCACTTGAGACTACACGAAATGTACATAAAATTCACAAAAGAATACTGGTCCAAAAAACAAAATACATGCAAAAAAGTCCTACGCCACAGCGTCAACCAATTCAATAACTGAGCTACGTCCTTGCCACCTACATTTTACACTTTAAATATACTCCGATTCACACTTATTTCCTACTTACAATGACACAGAACACACGGCTCATTATCACCCTATTTATTTAACCACAAACAATTAATTACTTTATTTGTATATTACCCGATTTACTTGAACAGAGCTTCACAAATTTGCCACCATTAATTTTCTATAATCACTATTATTAATTATCTGCTTCTGTTTGCCAAAACTCAACTGGCACCATACTTAATTCTTTCTGCCCTTGGTTACACCCCCCTCCCACGGGGAAAACAACCACAGTCACTTAGCATCTCTTAACTAATCAATTACTGGCTCTACCGTGGTTACAGGGGTTTCATTCCCTTAGTCGTCTACTGCGACCTGGCATCCCGCAAGCCACTTGGCCAATTCCTTTTTAGTCATTCGGGTCATTACTTGAGCTTTTGTGTGTCACTCGATATTGAATACTTCATAGTGTTAACACCCACTCTATCCACCATTGTCCGGTTTCAATTTACATAGCCAGGTGTAACAATTCCCCATCCCCGGACACAGACCCAAAAACGTTCGGGAATTCGAAACCATGCTGGCCGAATCTACTTATTCCCACAAACAACTTAATTTTTCCATAAAATATTAACTCCCAAAACTTATCAATTAAAAACTTAGATATTCAACTAATGAAGTCAAAAGGACACACCAACGACTGTGAAATTAAAAAAAAATGATTTCCACATTCTGTTACAAAAGATGTAAAAACTGACAATCATTTGTCAGTTAATTATAATTAACAAAATAATCCTAAACTTAAAACATTTGAATGCACGTAAAATCATAGTCACACATATTTTCAACTCATTAACAGTACACAGAAATGAAAGTGAGAATGCCCCATTACAAAATTCCATCAGTCTTTCTTTTTCAAAAAAAATTTCCATTGCGTTCACTTACGTGAATTCAGGCTTCCACGTGACCAACAGGCTGCCAGACATGCAGCAATGCTGTGTGCCAATCAAAATCAACAATAGATTTTCGCACATTCTTCTAAACTGTTGTAAAAAAAGACAAAACAACAAAAATCTAGTCTCTCACTAAAATGTTTCATCAAAATTGATAATGTGGCCCAAGTGTGTATGCGTGAGTGTAGGTGTTCACTGTGTTACTTATTTTTTTCTTTCTTTCTTTTCCCTATTCGTCCTTTGTTCATTGTCTCTCAATCAAACCCTGTTCGTCTACTGTTTTTTTACGTGTCTTATCATTTTTTCATCATTGCTTTTTATTTTGGTTTGCTGTTTAGATGAGTTTATGTGTGTGAGAGAGCTGTAAAACATAGTACTTACAGCCTTTTTTTCTGTCCGTATGTCATGATTACTTTTTATTTTCATATTCCCTTGTTGAATTCTCCTCTGAAATTTTTCTTCAAACATTACCACGTTGTATTCTAACCCTTATTCTGTTCCCCACCTCACCCCATGCTGGGAGGTCATTGTCACTGCGCCAAATGACGTATCTGTTGTATTCTTCCTGGTGGGGGAGGGGTAAACGGCGCCAAATCATTCATATTGTTGGATCTTCTCTCGTCTTCTCCTGGCCGATTAGTTAAAATGTTTTGGGTCTGGAGATGAAAATATTTCAATACGGGGATTTTTAAACTTAACTATTTTATTTACGTAGACGTATATATCTCCACTATCCAGTGGGTCGATCTCTTACCCCACTGGGAAGCTGCTTTCCAGACACGAAGGAAACACGTCTAGATTGAATGACAGCTTAGACTTCACTCCCAGAAAACCTTTCTATATCTCTATCATTCCCACATTCGTTCAGCCAATCAAAATCGACTTTCTTCTTTTGTCTTGTATCTGATACTTAAGGCCAATCTAAGGAAGTCAGAAATGAAATAGACTTCTCTAAAAATAATAGTCTACTTAACTATTATTTAAAATGTATTCTTTAACTTATAATCATTTTCCTAAAATCTTGACGGGTTATCTTCATGTTTCGCTGACTTCTTTAAAAAATGACAAGGCTAGAAATACAATTATTTCGAGACAATCTGATTTTAACCTTTTATCGAAAGATTAATCTTCTATAAATCCGAAAACATGAACCCAGCTTCATAGAAAATGAGAATCTTGTCTGGTTATTGGTCATTTCATTTATTATATTCCAATTGTTTGCCTTACTTTGTTCACTGACAAGCGTCAAGGCAGTCATTATAAATAATCTTAGAAAAGATATGCCACCAAATCTGTGACTTTATACATTAATTACTCGGCTAAGAAAAAATACGTGTGGTTAAGAAGTGTAATTATTTTTTTTTAAAATATCTTATTCATGTTCGTGTGTCTACGTGTAAAGAATTTCTAGGCAGAAATCTAACCGGGAATTATCGAATAATCTTAAATATCATCGACTCTTGGGGGGACAAATCACTGTAAAAAAAAATCGAAAAAAATCGACTTATACATTTTGTATTATATACGAAATTAGGTAAATATAATTGGAAACAAAGAAAATTGTACGTAACTGTTATATAGGATCGGTCTTCTTATATGGCAATGATTACTGCACAGGAAAAAGATTTGTTTGGTCAATTGGTTAGTTTGTCGGTTTTGTTTAGCCGAATGTTAATCTGTTTTCTCTTTTGTGGATCTAATATATTTTGTAGACAATTTTATTTTATTTTATTTATTTATTTTGATAATAATGGCTTTAGTAATACAAGTCTTATTATTTAACCCATATCTGGGAGGAGAATAGGTAGATTCATACCTTTCCCAAAGGTATTTACGAATAAGTGAATATAACGAACCCAAGTGGATTGCAACTCAGCTCCCCGATTAACAAATCCGAACCACTGTTCATCACACCAGCCGCACATCGAAGTTTGGAGCACCTGGTATTCCCAAGCAGTCACTCATATACCTACTGACCAGGCTCGTTCTTGCTTGACTTTGGTGATCTCAGGTGAACCGGTGTTTCAACGTGATGTGGCCATAAGCCCCAGATGAAGAAGAGATTTGAAGCAGTATAATTTGAGCTCTATAGAAGGTTACTGAGAATAGCATAGACCAAACACGTAACTAACGAGGAAGTTTTAATGAAAATGTAAACAAAAAGACATAGGCAACATCAGAAAGAGACAGTTGGAATTTCTAGAGCACATAAAGAGCGGAAAGAAGGCTTGGAAAATCTGACACCCAAAAAACATTTTGTAAGAAAGGGGGGCAGATGAAAGCAGCGTATAACCCCTGCCTAACGAGTATGTTATGGCGAAACAGAGATTAGGAGAGGCAGCAAAAAAGTTACTTTTACTAAGGGCTACAGAGGACTGGTAGTTGAGGAGAGCCATGATAGCCTACCATAAAGGGACAATTCATAAATAATAAGGAAAAGATTATATTCAAGCTAAAATGGTGGATGTTCAAATGTCTAACGCTGCAAGTTGTCGTAATCAAATGTGAAAATTCTTTTCTTCTATGCTATACATCGTTGCCCTGTCAAATTCTTTCGACTGAAATCTCATCAAAGAAAAAAAAAACGTCATAATTTACGCCGCGTTTTGACATTAGGCATTAATACCACACCAATTTGACTTTCAATTCTGGCTATTTTATTTCGCAGATGATAAAAATAATGTTCCCAATGTGAGCAATCATTTGCCTCTTCAACGGTTATAAGCGGATTTACTTCTGAAAAGTTGATCCCTGGAACCAAAATCTAGCCTCATGTAATGAAACGGAATTGTCTTATGGATAAAATGGCGCGATTTCTTTGATTCATTGAAGAATAAGCAGACAGTTCTATTCTTCTGTCTTGGAAATATCAATAATAAAAGTATCGTTAACATCAATATTTATCCACAATAGCCGAAGAATTTGGAATAACTAGAATGAAAGCACAGTCCAGTCATCTGTTAGCAATAACAGCAGGATAAGAATGTTTCGTTCCGTATGTCCATTTCTATATCCACAGACACTGTGTCAGAGAGATTTCTACAGATTTTTTGACAACTTGAAAACCAGAGGCCAGAACGTGAGGTCATTTTCGCTGCACTAATATATCATTAGTTCAATTTCAACCAAAAGCCAATAACATCTCAACTGTATTTTAACGTTTTGAAACTCAGCCGTTTCACCTCGATACAAGATAAACAGGACAATTTCTGGCGTATCGTGTATTGTTTTCGTTTCACCAACAACCAAGAACGGTCAACATTTAGAATCGATCAACAAAGGTCGATGGGATATTACGTAATTGTCAATATATTCTTTACACAAACACGCACGCACACATACGCACACACACACACTTTCACGTAAACATGATATAAATCTAAAAATTGACTGAGCCTTACTAGGGATTAAGTAAACACATTCCCTGCCAAGGAAGAGTGTCCTGACACTCCTATACAAGCGAGGAATCGGTAAAATGATTCTGTGTTAATATAATAATTACATCCAATGTTTAGCAGCTGCCATATTTCAATGGTCAAATCACTAGTCATCGTCATGTAAAACCATTTTATTAAAACAATCGTATGAAACTGTTCATCTGCTGTCAGAATTAAGAATCAAAATGTCGGCTGCTAAAAGAATTTCATGAAATTCTGACTGAAAAAAGATTTCTTTTTCTAATATCTTTCAAATGAAAAGGAATCATGCGTATGAATTTTAAATAATTAAACTAAATATTTTAGAGATTAAACAATAATCGCCAAAAAATATCTCGACAACGATGCAAATTTTGAACCAATAAAATAAAATCATCACAAAGTATATCAAAATCTTATTTGTGATCGATTTTGCTTCAATGTCATGTTTCCATTGTTACGATTGATTAAATTTCCCATATCGGCTGAGATCAAAGTTTCTTGAAAGAATTGTATTTATATTTTTAATAATACTTTCCACCAGACGAGAAGATAATCTCTGTTTAACCATGAAGATCTCCGTTAAAAACTTTTGTGAAATTGATTATAAGTTAAAAATATTTATAGTGTTTGCAAATGGTTAAGACAACATTAAGTGGACGGACAAATTAAAATTGGAAGTCGAATACGCTTGAAATGGACGATCGAATTTGAAGAATAGGTTAAAGCCGTTTTAAGTAGATGGACGATTTACGACGAATAGGACAAACTGGATGAAGTGGACAGCTGGATTTGACTAAGTGGTCTATGGTGTTGAAAGCCGAATTAAAAGAGGTCCAATGAAAGAGATTTTTTTTGTGATCTATAAAACATCATTATGAACATCATGAAAATCATTGCAACATTAAAAATAGTAATTAAAGCTTTACTATCATTGAGAGTAAATGTGTTAAAGCGATGATTTTGGATCAACAAGAAGAATATTTGTCGTTTGCCAAAAGAGTAGCGAAATATTAAAACAAATTAGATTAAAATAAATTCTATGTCGCCAAATTGGCATTTATATCATTTATTTTATTTGCTTAAAGAAGAATTCGTTAAAAGCTTACTTAACTTTCTTGGCTCGATAGAAAGGATTTTTTGGAACAGGTTTTTCTTCTTATTTTTAAATTTCCATTTTGAAGATTTGGAGACGCAGACATTATCTCATCTCTTTCAATATTTTCCAGAAATTGTGCCAAAGTTATTTTGGCAATAAGATGCTTTATTAAGAAATTCTACGAGTGAATTTAAAATCTTCACATCTGAAAACAAGATTTCCGTTATTGATCAAATGCCAGAACAATAACTGGAAAAATTAATGCCAAATATGTCGATGGATATTTAAAGCCACAAGCGTTTCGCCATATTTACATAATTGATTTATATCGTTACCTCAAAAAAGATTAATCCGTTAATAGAGTTTTCGATATTTACTTTCCTACCTACATACTTGTTATCCTCATCAATAACACACGTTGCCGCAAAGTAGTTCACTGTTAATCTAACTGTTTTATACGTATCGACAGGATTTTTAACCAACCGGTAAATTGTTTCAAATAAAGGTCAGTATAATAACCAAGTAGTTTGCTAATGAAATAGCAGTGGGCTTTTTTTGGAGTTGCCCTGGGTATTTTGGTTTTAGAATTGTCTGAAGGTCAATATTATGGTCACGTATTACTTTTCCACACAAATATCCACAAAATTCCAGTGAAAAAAAAATGTCTTCCGTCTATTCAATTATATTTTCGATTTCAAACCAATCTCAATTCTACTTGGCACCTGATTGTTTCTTTATTGTTTCAATAAATCTTCGTCTGCTGCTTTGTAAAGTATATCTCCTCTCCTTGTGTCTCTAATCAATGAAGCGGTAAAGTGAACACTCACGATTTGATCTTACTCTCAACAGCAAGTGAAGGAAATTCATTGCAATTTTGCTAAAAATAAAACCACAATTTTTTTTTATTTTATTTTAATTATTTTATAATATCTGAAACTGTAATTCTTTTTCGCCTTTATCATGTGCAGACCCCATCTTTCAGAAATCATCTCTGCTTTATAAGTTTATTGACGCACAGGAAGATAAAATCATAGCCTGTTTGTTGCTATTATATCTGGTGCTGTTGATAAATGCGCCGAACATCAATGTTATATTCGAGAATTACACACAAGAGACGTAATCACACCACTGGGAAATTGGTGCAATACAACTCCAGAAAAAAGATATTTGCATTACTGATTGCATCCATTTCAACTTATCTTAATTAGTGATTACACTAAATTCTTTCCTTGTTAGCCTACTGAATAATTGTCGCAATTTAAAATGAAAGATTTCAAGTCGTTATTAAACGGCTTTTGGTGGTGGAGAGACTCTTCTAGTAATTGACGACATAATAAATATGTGTTAGAAATGAATTATGCAACACTTTATCTTGGATTCACCCTTAGGTCAACTGCTCAACTGATTTCAAGTAAAACTGTCAAGAAGAGATTCAGAAAATAGCGACATATTTCTTTGGTAAAAGAGAGCATAAACGAGTCGCTTGCGTTTGTTACGAATCGGTTTTCGTCAGGGGAAGCAACTTATGGAAACAGGACAAACACAGGCAATAGAAAAGGTGATAAGTGCAATTGGAAATAAACGATTTGGCTAACTGTAAATAAGCTTTTATCTATTTATGATTCTTAAGTGCCAGATGCAACGGAAGCAAGTGAAGTTGATTAATTTTCACGTTAGATGATATGTTAAAACATGTGACTGGTAACAGGGGGCTTTTTTGCGGATATTTAATAAAAGCCATTTATCTTCTTGTAGGAAATCAAGGGCAGAGATTTTATTTTTACAGCTCACAGTCGTGATGCCATTAAGTAAGTTTTTCCTCTTTTCATAAAAGAAACATGGAGAATTATTTATCCAGGTTTCATTGATTGAACTCAATGGGACTATGAATCTGACTAAAAGCTTTATTACAACGATTATGACGAGTTTTGAGCAAATTCAAAGTTTGATAGCATGAGATAAGTCGACGTTCGAAAAGGGTAAATATTTAAAGCGATGAAAGAATTTCAATAACAACAAATAAATCTCTTATCTTTTTCTTGTTTTTATTTTGCTATTCAAACAATGCCCGGAATTATACTTCAAGATGAATTTTATATCAGGATGAATGGAAGACATTTTGAAAGAAATTGCTTCATTTGAAGTAATTTCTTTTAAAATGTCTTATATATATATATATATCCGCTTCTTCTCCCTCCAGCTATGGGTAAATAGCAGGACAGACTGGGTTGTATAGCCTTGGATGGCAACTGGTCTAGGAGAAGGACAACTCTGAATGCAAAATCTGCGAAATGTTGTTTAGGGACCCTTTGGCACGTAGTGCACCATGTCACTCTATTCGGCCCTTCAAGAAGTGTGGATGGTCCTGTACGAAACCTTCACCACTATAATCAAATCTCATGTGCTGTTGCCAAAATGTTGGTTTCCTGGGAAGCGATCTGCTTGACCCTCATACATCGAATTCGACAGGAGAGTCATATATATATATATATATATATATATATATATATATATATATATATATATATA